CTTGGGCTAATACTTTCCTTGTGTCTTTGGTGTTCTTCATTCTCCCTTAACTCCAGGTGGTTGGGATCAATTTATGCATCTTAGATGGCTGCTTGCAAGCTTTTAAGACCCCAGACGCCACTCACCAAAGTAGGATGCAGAACATTTTCTTAATAAGCTTTGTTGTGCCAATTGACATAGATGTCCCCTGAAAGCATAGTCCCCAGACTCCCCATCCCTGCTACTCTGTCTCTCAAAGTATTTGATTGTATTGAGGAAACTTCTTAGCTTTGGTTTAGTCCAGTTGTGCTGGCTTCCCCTGTAGTGTGTGCTGTCCATCCCTTCACCTAAGATGATCCTTATCTACTATCTAGTTAGTAAATAACCCTCACCCTCCCTCCCCACCCCCGTAACCATCAAAGAATGTTTTCTTCTGGAAGTCACTTAACCTTGACTCTCAGTTTCCTCATCTATAAAATGAAGATAATTTTATATCTGTTTCACAGTGTTATTGTAAGACTTAAAAGGAACAAAATACATGGTAACACTTTGAAAACTCTGAAGTGTCAAATGAATGTTGGTTGTTATCCTCTATTGTTTGGCAAAGCTCAGACTAGGGTGAGGTAAGTGCATTTCCCAGGGCTCCAAATTTAATGAGGCACTCACTCTCAGGATCATACAGGTTCAGGGCCAGCACCGAGAGTGAGTGCCTCCTTAAATAGGAGCCCTGGCACTTTGCTCACTTCACCCTAGTCCAAGCCTTGGTGTTTGGCCCAGCAAAGCTTCATGTAAATAGCAGCCATACAGCTCCAGATATGGGCCTGATGTCTGAAAGACTATTTTTTGTTCACATACACCTATGGTAGGTCAGGAGCAGTTTTACCTTCTTCCCAAAAGCTGTAAGACTACTGTTTGGATTAAACAATCCTCCTCTGATTTCCCACCTCCTTTTTTTCCCCCCCTATTCTCTTACTATTTTCCTTATATCTCTGTGCTGTAGTTAGCTGTTACAAGATACATTCATTTTATCTTCAGATATTCTCCTGGCTTTAGTGTTTCATTATGATGCATTGCCAAATAATACCACGTCTGCATTATTATTTTCTGGAATTTGCAGTACTGAAGAGGAGTTTCTTTTAACTTCAGCTTCTTTAAATTACTTGCTTTCAAGGTTGAAGCAATTTACTCTCCAAATATCTTAGGCTGGGTTCTCAAGAGAAGCAAAACCAGTGAAGCATATATATATAGATAGAGAGAGAGAGAGAGATTTATCTCAAGGAAAATGGCTTACGTGGTTGTAGAAGCTGCCAAGTCCCATGTACATGGGTCAGGCATCAGGCTGGAGACTTCTTCTGGCTCATGTAGCTGCAGGGGCTGGCAAACCCAAGATTGACAGTCAGATGGCAGGCTACTGGCTCATGAGCTGTGGAAGCCAACAAATCCAAGATTGGCAGGCAGTACGGCAGGACTCTGGCTCAAGTCTTGAGAATTGGAAGTCAGATGATGTCGAGCCGGAGGCAGGATCCAGAGCAAGCAAGTGAGCTTTGCCAGAATGCCTATATATATATACATATATATAGGATGCAGTCCACCCCACAAGGAAACTCCCCTTACAACTGATGGGCTGATCACATCAGATCACATCACGGACAATGACTGCATCATTACATAACTGCCAAACTACATCATTACAAAGCTGCCAGACCACAGAGAATCATAGCCCAGCCAAGCTGACACACAATCTTAACCATCACAAGAAGTAAAAAAATATTACAAGGTTATCAAAAAAAATTCCAGAGGAGAATGAGTATGAATGCAGTTCTTCAAGGCTCACAGCCAGAGTTCCAGAAACAAAAATGAACCGCCCTTCTGCACAAACAGATTTTTCAAGAGCTATTCACATGCCCACGTGTATCTGGCTGCGGTGGGCTTTTCGGGGTAAAGGTTCATTGACAAGCCTCTCACTGAGCTTTTTAAACAAGAGAGACTAGTGTTACAGTTTTAGAGATTTCTAAAATTACTTGCTAGTAGAGTTTAAAAAATGTGTTGCCTGCTTTTCCATTTGGATTTCTTCATGCTGCTCTAAAAACGTTTGGCTCACTCTTAAATTTCACCTCATAATACCCCATAACTTGTCCTCTAAATCTTTGTAGATACCCAGATTTGATATCCTCAATTTTTATATTTGTCTCTCACACCTCCACAAGCATTACTATTATTTTACTTACTGATGTTTTGAAGCTAAATATGTCACAGAGGAATTGTGATTAAAAAAATATGAAAATATAGTCAGGCTCAATGACCAGTAAAATCTGTACAAGCAGAAGATCTAGCAAATAGATTCCCCAGGAAATGTAGCCTACAGTGAAAGTACTGATGAGGTTCTTTCGAAGAGTATATGTATTTTTGCCTTTCACTAATTAAGAAGCAGAAAGAAAGGGGGGAAAAAAAAAGAAAAGGCTTAAGACCATTTTTTTAAAAGTCTATTAGTTTAGTGAAAAGTTAGAACATAGATGAAATGTGGTACTTTTAGCCCATTTTTCCCTACTGTGAAAGGTAAATACATTTTTAGGCAAGAATTGGGGTATCGTAATGAAGAACTACATCAAACTAAATGCTTCATTATAATCAAGGTATTTTTCCTTTGTTACTCAGCAATCTGTATTTTGGGGTTTATCATTTATCTCTCATAAAGATATCCCAAGTTGGGCAGGCTGTAGCAAGATATGTGCTAGACATGTGAGTTGTTAGTTTAAGAGGAAGGAATTCCAAATTGAAGCACAGTTATCAAGTCTGCTGAAATACCACACAAATTTACCAGAGGTTTAAAATGGACACCGCCCTGGGTGTTGAGGTCATGGAAGATTTTTTTTTTTTCCCTCCTTTTTAATGTTTTTGAACTTTGCCAAATTTCCTTAGTGAGCACAATACTTTTATAATCAAAGGAAAAAAAGAGTGGAGAAAAAAGAATGTTTTAATACAAGGACTTAAAACTCATGTTGCCTCAGCTTGAGTGAAGGTATGCTGAGATTTCAGCGGACATCAAACCAGTACTGGGTGGGGCCAGAGATGGGGGAAATGGTCCACAGGGCAGCTCACCAGCAGTTCAAGCTGGGAGGGGGTAAGATAAACTCGGGGACAGTCCAGGCCATGTAATACTAATTCACTCATCCATAATTCAACAACTGCTTATAGAATGCCAACCATGTGTTTGGTCTTGGGGAACATCTAGCTCAATCGGCATGACACAGCTTATAAAGACAATGCTCTACATTCTACCTTGGTGAGTAGTGTCTGGGGTCTTAAAAGCCTGTGAGCAGCCATCTAAGATACTCCACTGGTCTCATCCCTTCGGGAGCAAGGGAGAATGAAGAGAACAGCATACAAGGAAAAGATTAGTCTGAAGGACTAATTGTCCACAGCTACCAAGGCCTCCACCAGACTGAGTCCAGTACAGCTAGATGCTGCCCGGCTACCACCACTGACTGCTCTGACCAGGATCACAACAGAGGGTTCTGGACAGAGCTGGAGAAGGATGTAGAGCATAATTCTAACTCACAAAAAAATAGACCAGATTTACTGGCCTAAAGGAGACTGGAGAAACCCCGAGAATATGGCCCCCAGACACCCTTTTAGCTCAGTGGTGAAGTTACTTCAGAGGTTCACGGTTCAGCCTGGGAGTGGACAGCCCTGTAAAACCAAATGAGACTAACGAGGTACAGGAGTCCAGTGACAAGGGCCAGAAGGCAGAAGGGGACAAGGAAGCTGGTGATAGGGAGCCCAAGGTTAAGTAAGGATATTGTTGATGTGTTGTGAGATTGTTAACCATTGTCATAGGGCAACATTTGTAGTAACTGTGAAATGAGAAACTATTTTGTTCTGTAAGCCTTCATCTTAAGTGAGAATAACAGCACAATTCGAAGAGCATAGTCAATGTCACTGAACTGTGCATGTAGAAGTTTTTGAAATGGTATACCTTTGGCTATGTGTATTTTCACCAAAAAAAAAGTTGAGATGTTAGAGGGTTGGTATGTTGTGGGGTTGTTAACCAATGTCATAAAACAACATGTGTACTACTGTTTCATGAGAAACTATTTGTTCTGTAAGCCTTCACCTAAAGTACAATAAAAAAAAAAGAATGCCAACCATGTGCAATGCATTGTGTAAGGGACTGGGCAGCCAATGAACTCCCAATGGGCTTCTGCTCTAGGAGAATTCTTTAATTAGTGTCATGACAAAGGCTGTGAAGAAATTACAAGATTCTAAGGGAGCTTATGATAGAAGAACTTGACTAAGCAAGGGATGGGGAAATGATGGAAGGCAGCTCTGAGGAGGTGACAGGTAATTTGAGATCTAAAGGGTGAACAGGAATTAGCCAAGTATGAGGGTGGGAAAAGGGAGCATTCTGGGCTGAAGGAATGGCTTGTGGGAAGGTCCACAAATAGGAAAAATTATATCAAGGTCAAGAATCTGAAAGGTCATTGTGGCTAGGTCTGGCAGATGTGGAGAGTCACTGGTTGTGAGATAGGCAGGCCTAATCTTGTAGGGCTTTAGTGAAGAAAGACAACAAATGACTTTAAGCAAAAAAAAGCATGATTAGATCTGTGGGATTAGTATTTATTATGATTATTATTTTTAATATTTATGCTTTTAAGAGAACACTTAAGAGGGAATAAAGGGTAAGAGGGAATGCAGGGAGCCATGTAGGAGGCTATTGCAGTACTCCAGGTACAAGATAATGGTGGTTGGGGTGGCGGGTGTGACATCAGGCTTGGAGTGTGATAGACAGAAAATGTAAGTCAAATTCCAGAGATAATTTTGTCATAATTGACAAGAGTTGCTAATTGGTTATATGTGAGAGAGAGGAAGTTGTCAAGAATGACTCCCAAGTTTCTGGCTTTAAAAATGGGGTGGATAGTGGTATCACTTCTGAGCTAGAGGACACCAAGAAAACGTGCAGGAGGGCAGGACTGAGTTCTGTTTTGGCCATAGTGGATCTTAAGATACCTCTGAGAGCAGACAACGCGGCGGCGATGTCCGCGAGCCAGGCGAGCACCGCGGCTGCAGCGGCGGGGCCTCACGCGCGGCAGGGCGTCCTGGGCTTCGGCCTCCCTCCGGTTCCCGGGAAGCGGACTCGCGGGAAGCCCGGGAGCAGCAGCAGCAGCAGAGGCGGAGGCTCTGGCACGTCTCTCTCCTCCGCCTCAGCATGAGCCAGGGGAGGCCAGGCGGCCGGGTGGCTGGAGGGGGGTCCGCTGCCCAAGAATGGGAATTCTCTTCACCAGGATGTGGAGACTGTTCAATCACCAGGAGCACAAAGTTGTCATTGTTGGGCTGGATAATGCAGGGAAAACTACCATCCTTTACCAATTTTCTATGAATGAAGTTGTACATACATCCCCTACAATAGGAAGTAATGTAGAAAAGATAGTGGTTAATAATACATGTTTCCCAATGTGGGACATTGGTGGCCAAGAATCTCTTAGTTCTTCCTGGAACACTTACTATACTAACACTGAGTTTGTAATAGTTGTTGTGGACAGTACAGACAGAGAAAGGATTTCAGTAACTAGAGAAGAACTCTATAAAATGTTAGCACATGAGGACCTGAGGAAAGCTGGACTGCTGATTTTTGCTAATAAACAAGATGTTAAAGAATGCATGACTGTAGCAGAAATCTCCCAGTTTTTGAAACTCACTTCTATTAAAGATCATCAGTGGCATATCCAGGCATGCTGTGCTCTTAAACTGGCGAGGGATTGTGGCAAGGACTTGAATGGATGATGTCACGATTTAAGATTAGATGATCTCTACTGACCTCGTCTCATAGACTTTGTATAAACGAAGTGCTGGACTTTACCTGAAAGCAGCAAAAATTAATGGTTTAGGTATATTTATAATAAACTGATTTAAACTTTTTCTGTAAGAAGAAAAATTAAGACCACTTATTTGAAAACAAAGATGAAGTCTCGCCTTCCAATTTGCTTTCTCATTAGTTCCTTCCAAAGTAAGGTCTTAAAGATGTGATTGACATTTTTCTCATAATGAATCCTCTCAGGACATTGTGTAGCCTGTGGTAAGTACAAAGGGAGAGGAAGACAATTTTAAGTTTGAGAACTTTTTCATCAGTATAACCCTCCCCAGTTGAATGTTACTCTCTTTTTGTTCCATTAAGTCAGAGTACAGATCAGCACAGATACTCAGTTTCCAATATTTCAAAATGTAATGCTACTTATGAAAAGTATTTTGTGTAAGGTTGCATACGTATTGTGTATATAGCTCAAGTTCAAGTTAATGGCTTTGACTTATGTTCTAAAGAAAAGTGAATAACACAAAAATTAATAATATCCTTAAATATAGCCATAATGACATGAGTACTGGCATTGGTGGTGCCATTTTGAACTTTTCCCCTTGTGTTCTCTGTATTGTACTAACCAATCCCCAAAAATCATTGAGCTGCTTTAGAAGATAGAAGAGGAGAGGAAGAAAGTTTGACATTTTGTACATGTTTTCTTGTTGATCAAATAACATACAGAAACATGTAATGCAACTGAGTGGAATATATATCAAATATATCAAGTCCTTGGCTTAGTATTTCTAATGGGCAGAATTGCACAGTGAGCAATTATTATCAGATTATTAACTTTATTGGTCCAATGCCATCTGTGTTATTGAATAAACTGTTAATCCATTAAAAAAAAAAAAAGATACCTGTGAGACATCCAAGGGGAGATGTCAAATAGGTAGTGGGATATACAGGTCTGGGATTCGCAGGAGAGGTTTCTGTAAAGGTGGGTAGAACATGACAGCTGCAGCTTCTGGCAGTACTCACTGTCAGGTGGGTGAAAGCATCTTAATTCCAGGGAGGTCAGCCAGTCAGTCACTATGTGGAGCTACTGGGCCCTTAGAGAGAAAGATGGGAAGGAGCACATGTATAAAGTGCCAGACATTGTGCCACATGCATTACCTTGTTTACTCCTCTGAGGACGGTCTATTTTCATAGTCTGTGAATGAGGAAACCAAGGCTAAGAGGAGTTAAATGACTTGCCCAAGGCACTCAGCTAATAACTAGAGAAGCTGGTGTATCAGTCTGGATCTCAACCAGAAATAGTCGGCATGTTTAAAGGAATACAATTCAAGAAAGGGTTGTCTGTTTGCTTTAACAAAGGATAATCAAGTGAGAGTGTACGGTTGGGACGACAAGGAATAGCGCAGTAAACTGGAGCTGAAAGTGGTTCCAGGCCCTGCAAGGAGCAAGTCATGGAGAAGATGCAGTGCTCTTCTTTGGAAGGACACAGTCAGCCTGAGGCAGCCTCACTCTCTTCCCTCCCAATTGCCTCCTAATGGGAAGCCAGAGGGCAGAGAGCTGGGGGGAAAGCGTACAGTGTGATGAAGAAGGAGCAAATAGAAGATAGTAGGCACGCTGGGATTTTAGGTCAGCCTGACACCAAAACCCATGCTATAAACTCCTGAGCTGTCAGAGCTCAGATCAGGAAAGGATGCTCAGGGCAGGGTCCTGACGTGACGGGGTGCACACTGAAATCTGAGCAGAAGCCCAGCCAGGCTCACAAATCCTGGACTCTGAGTGAGAGCTGGAGGAAGGCTAGAGATCAGCAGCACTTGGAGGCCCAGGAGCTCTGCCTCAGTCCACCAGATACCCGTCAGTAGACCCAGTGGTGTCACTAGGGTTGGTGTCACGCAGTGCAGTAACTCACGGTGCCACCCCCCCATGCTAATTACCACAATATTGTAGCTAGAACACCAGAAAATTTGACAAAATCAATGACTATAAAAACACCAGCAGCAACAAAAACAGCAGCACATGCTTGTAGAGTACAGATGAAACCGTGTGATTTGTAGTGTCATTGTAACTGGGTAATAATGGCAGCTCTGACCAGAGTGTGTTAGAGGGCTCAAAAAATAAATTAGCATAGAATTTTTAGCTTTGTAGGTATATTGATACATGTAAGCTGGGCTTACAAAAATATGTTTTGTTGTTATAACTAATTACTGGGATTTTTTATAAAAAATAATAAATTACTGCTGAAACACTGCACAAAAATTTTATAGACAGTCATTTTGGTGTCACCCCTTCTGACACTGTTACCCAGCGTGGTCTGCACCCCCTACACCTCCCTAGTGATGCCACTGAGCAGACCACCTCTGACCCTATCTGCTATCTCAAAGAAGGCTTATAAAAGTGGCCAGGATGCCTGTCCTCATGATGCCCCTCTGAGGTGGACAGCTGCAGTCTGGGAACCATCATTTTCATTTTTATATATTTGCAAATGAATAAACCAAGCAATCAAGTGGTAGTTCCATGCTGTGGTTCCAGTTCTTCTTGACCTGTGTGACTGAATCAGTGTTTGAACTATGAAAAAGTAATTGTCAAAGTAGATTCCCCCTTGCATAAGCAAGTATATGAAAGAACTGTTGTTTGCTTCAGGGCCTTCTGTTCAGCTGTTCCTATTATCACCTGAAATGTCAGATGAGCTATTGCTTTGCTACTGAGATTTCAAGGAGCCCTGGTGGCACAGTGGTTAAGTGCTTGGCTGTAGCCGAAAGGTCATCCTTGTTTGGAACCCAACAGCCACGCTCCTCGGGAGAAAGATGTGGCAGTCTGCTTCTGTAAAGATTAAAACCTTGGAAACTCTATGGGGCAGTTCTACTCTACCGTAAAGGGTCACTACGAATTAGAATAGACTTTCATGGCAACAGGTGTGGTTTTGATTGAGATTTCAGACTCCAGGTTAATAACTCTCCAAGTTAATAATTCAGATATGGTGGTATGCTCAGAGAACCATAAACTGTCTTTGACACAGGAAAATTCAGTTTAAAAACGCAACAGTAATTTAAATGTCCCATTCTTAACATTAAGTTCAGTGAGTTGTGTTAACATTTAGTAGTTTCTTGTTCTGATGGTTTTGTTTGCCCTCTGTATAGTTTCTGTTTAACTGCTCTATAAATGACTGCCACTGCTCACAGGAATTCTCAAGGACAGTACAACATGTATATTCAGAGGTCTCAGGAATGTCGTTTATGTCCAAAAGCTCAGTTTTCATTTTTCAGAATCATCTCAATGGAAAGAGACACACTGGAATTATCATACTGTTTTCTGTTTAGGAAAAAGTAAATGGGGGTGGGTATTCGAATAAGTGAAAATTTTTTGGCATAGCACAGGGCAAGCCATGGCAGCTATTTCATCCTACATGTTATAAAATTAGCTAGTGAATCTGCCTTGAGAAGGGACTAAAAAGAGATTGAGGACAGCATATCTCAAGTCTGTGCTTCAATTCAGCATTTTAAATAATGGCACAGATAATATAAAAGATTCAGAGTTCAAAAAGATAAAAAGTAAATTACTCTCCCACCCCAGAGACAACCACTATTAATAGTTTCTTGGGTAGTATCTTTTCAGGTATTTTCTGTGCATACATAAGTAGAGATCTTTTATGTAAATATTAATATAGATAACTTTCCACATCTTGTTCTTTTTACTTAAAAATATATCTTAGAGGTCATTTTATGTTAGCTCATATGTATCTATCTTTAAAGGCTAATGTCTCATCGAATTACATTGTGTTCTACGTAATACCAATTCTTTAGCATTTGATCTCGTGACTAATATGGAGCTCTGGTGGCACGGTAGTTAAGAGCTATGGTTGGTAACCAAAAGATTGGCAGTTTGAATCCACCAGCTGCTCCTTGAAAACCCTGTGGGGCAGTTCTACTCTATCCTGTAGGGTTGCTATCAGTCTAAATCAACTCAATGGCGATGGGTTTGGTTTTACTGGGTGACTAGTATATAAATATTCCATTGCAAATATGCTTGGGAAGAATGAGAAAAATGTATGCTATTTGTTGGGAGCAGAGTACTTTCTCTCTCTCCACACATACATGCACACACGCACACACGCACACACCCCCAAAAAACAAAACCTGTTGCCGTCGAGTCGATTCCAACTCATAGTGACTCTATAGGACAGAGTAGAACTGCCTCACAGGGTTTCCAAGGAGCAGCTGGTGGATTCAAACTGCCGACCTTTGAGTTAGCAGCCAAGTCAGGATTTTTAATTGTATTGGATAAATCATCTATATCTGTACTGCATTCTCGTCACATGATCAATCCATTTCTGACAAAGTTATATTAAAATCTCTCATTATGATTGTGCTGATTATTCCCCATTTCCCCACCAGATCCATTCTTGACCCATCTCTGCTCTTTTCCTTTGCCCTCTGGTTTCCACTTAGATTTGGTCAGTGGGTTTGGAGACTGCAGGAGAACAGAGAATAGGAGGAAAGAGAGATGAGGATATTTATTCTCTCCTCTCTACCCATTAACCCCCATCCGCCCATGCTCTATCTCTGTCCCACCAGGGTTCTTGTTTTGATCCTCCAGGGCTGTAACTCATTCCAGGTAGCCCCACCTCCAGATCTCCAGCTCTCTTTAGGCTCCATTCCCTCTCCTTGTTCCTTCAGGCCTAGAGGAGTAACAACTTTCAATGTTGATACTTCTTGGGTGCCTCAGCATCCCCTCTTGTTCCCTCAACATGGTACCAAACCCATTGCCACCAAGTCAATTCAGATTCATAGCAACCCTATAGGACATAGTAGAACTGCCCTACAGGGTTTCCAAGGCTGTAAATCTTCATAGAAGCCAACTGCCACATCTTTCTTCTGCAGGGTGGCTGGTGGGTTCAAGCCACCGATTCTTCAGTTAGCTCTTGAGCACTTAACCACTGCACCACCAAAGCTCTTCAGCCAGGTACACACCCCTGTAAACAGTTAATTCATTAAATTCTATTCAGTTAAACTCTTATGAGCATGACATTTGTTTCCTATAGAGATCCTGGCTGAAACTTCCATTTTTTCTTATAATTAAGTCAGTTTTTTTTTTTTTATATTTCAAGGCTGTATTGTCAAGTGCACATAAGTTTGTGATTGATGTATCTCATACGTGTATTGTTCCTTTTGTGTATTAATGTTTTTCTCTTAAATATTATTTTGTCTGATAGTGACTGATAGGTCAGCCCAGTTTTCTTTTGGGTTGTATTCACCTGGCTTAGTTTTGTTTTTGTTTTTTTTCTTTTCATCTCTTGTTTTTCAACCTTTTTGTGTTTTTGTTTTAAAATATATCTCTTTTAGAAAGTTTAGACTTTGATTTTTTAGATCCAATTTAATAAAATAATAGGTGAATTTTATCCATTCACATTTAGTGTGGTTACTTATATATTTAAACCTATTTGTGCTACCTTACTTAGAGTTTTCTGTTTACCTCCTCTTCTGGTTTGGGCATAGATTGTATTACTAATATTTAACTTATTAACTTTTGCATTTATAATATGCCTAACTAGGATTTTCTATAAAATATAAAATTATTTACTATCTCTGTCCTCTTCCCTGATAATAAAAGACCTGAGCATGTTTTAACTCTCCATTGAACACCTCTCACCATCTTCCTTATAGTTACAGAGAATTTTAATTCCACCTTTTAAAGCATGAAAATGGATTTAGTCTTTATAGTTAATAGTTAAAATGTATTAAGCAGTATATTCTATCAATTCTGTGGTGGCAGCTCAGTGTCCTAGTCTGGCAGTGATGTGACAATACTGCAAATCCAGTCTCTGAACAAGCTGGTGTTTGGCCCTGTCCTTAAGCAGGGTAGGAGTGCAGGAAGAAAGTGACACAT